TGTGCTAATGTTGTTGGGTTATTGTTTGTGCTAATGTTGTTGGGTTAGCCTGTCAAAGAGGTTTCTGTTCAGAAAATTGACACATTTAGTTTTTAGTTAATTAGGTTAGTTAATTCAGTTGGAGACACAAACTCATGACCGTAACACTTTTTTCATTCTTCTTTCAGAACAACAGGACTATTACGCATTTACTTCCTTATTCATTATGGTTTGATTCAAGAGAGGAGAAAAGCTACAGGATGTTAATGGGTAAAATATATCAGATGCAACCGTGGGATGTTTGAGATCTAACAGAGAGCGGTGATTGGTAGCTGGAATGGATCGGCCTGGATGCAGAAATCAATGGAATCAATGGGACGATTTAGCGGCGACAATTTGTGTAAAAGCATGACTGTGTGTTACAAAAACTGAAACAAAATGTAGATAGAGACCGTTGTGCTACTTTATATTAGACCATTTAAGCCCTAAGTGAAAGCACAATTTTCATTCCAGTGCAAATGTGCTGAGCTGTGCAAACAGACGTAATTATATGCTATTCATTAAATTCAATTATAACTTTATTCTCTCTAGAATAACACAATCCTGTGCTTAGAGTCCTGTTGTTCAGATCTCAGTCATTCACATTACAACTACCAACAATGGTGGAATCCCAAAAACATTTATCCAGAGGTTTGAATTCTTATTACATAATTTACTGTTTAGGACCAATTCATTACATTCCTATAAGTAACAAACATGTACACACACACGATCCTCTAAAACGTTCCTCCTCCTGTCAAACATCACTCTATGACGTCTCTGAATGTGTCTTTGTACACATTTGTCTTTGCAACATTTTTGTGTCTTTCTGTTGTCTGACTGTCGTTTGTTCTGCAGCCAGACGTGTGTGAGCACATCTTTATATGTGTGTGTGTGCATGTTATCATGCATTCCTTTGTCTAGCAGCATCAGTAGCCTGCAGAGGGCCTGTTGCTCTTCAGATAACACCTCAGTGTCCATCTCGTCTGTTCGATTCATCACATGTCAGAGGGGCCGCCGTCTTTTAAAGTCCTGTTGTGTTTGACTGGTCCATATCCACTCTACTGGTCTCACTAGTCTCACAGGTCTCACAGGTCTCACTGGTCTCAATTTATCAGCAATATATATATATATATATATATTGCTGATAAATTGCATGTTTGTCTACATATCCTGATGCATGTGCTATTTCTTAGATACTCATTTCATTTATTTTAAGCTGTTAAACCAAGTAGACCTTCCCTGTTGAGTCCCCGTTGACCTGCTATGAAAGAAGCATGAACACTTCAAATCAAATCACATCACATTACAAAAGACGTCTGCAGGGTCAGACTTTGAGATTTTAAAGATGAAAGAAGTTGCAATAACATGTTTTCCATCAATTTGCACTTCCAGAGATGATGTCACCTTTTCTCAATGACTTAGTGGAGTTCTGCTGCTCTGAGTTCGCACAGAAAGCAGCAAGTGTTTATGGAGCTTTAGAAACATGAATTATTCATCGTCTTATGAAAAGTGTATCTTCTGGTGCTGCTTGTTGGAGCCCTCGGGGCCACCTGGGTGTCGAAACATTGAATCTCCATTAAGACTTCAGCATCGGCCAGCGTGTTTGACTCGGACACGACATTATTAGCAACATCCCCCGGCTTTCATTGGGTAATAAAGTCCATTTAGAACATGTGTAACAGCCTTCTAAAAGATTAATTGGACAGTTGTGTGTGCTCATTTCCCGACAAAGTTTTGTCATGGAATAATTTATGGGCATTGAAAGGCATGTAAAACACTTTGAATTAAAAAAAAACAACCTTTCTGCCTCCTGGACGTCTGGCTCAAGTGTGTGGAATGAAATATAAATGACCTCCATGATAAAGGGAACCTCCAACTGTCCCAATCTATCCGGTCTATGTGTCTGCACTCCTTCTGTCACTTGGTTTTATCCAGCTGATAATATCACTTCCTCTCAGTATCAATGTTTTCTATTATTTCTCTTCTCTAGATCTGATACTTTGGTATTTCCATTCTTCCTCCTATCCTCTTCTTCACATCATGATGAGCCCCATGTGACCTGTAAGGGATATTTAACCCTGACTTCATGAGAACATGTCAGTCCAGTCCTCCTCCTCTTCTTCATCGTTCTTCTTCCTCCTCTTCTTCTCGATCGTTGTTCTCCCTCCTCTTCCTCCTCGATCCACTGTGGTCTTTGCCCTCTAATTCAGTGGTTCTCAACTGGTCTGGCTGCGGGACCCACCATCACCTCTTAATGACAAGGCGCAACCCAAATCGAGGAACATTTTCAACTTCTCAAATGTAAAGATGGAGCAGTTTGAACCTGAGCTGAAGATGTCCTCTGCAGTCGTAGTGTAGGAGCTCTCTAGTGCAGAGACATTGTTCCTGTCAGTCCCCGTCCCACATGTTCCACGTAAACGAGTAAAACTGCTTTGTTTGTGACATCTGTAGATTCGTCCATTTGTGATGCAGAATGACCACTTGCCTAAATTCGAACTGTGGTCTGTTGTTTGATGTCATCCGACATGTCTTCAATTCGTCTACTTATAGTGTCATTTGACAGAGGTATAGTTTTTAGTTCATCCTCTGCTGATTGATCAACATGTCCATGTCCATGGCTGCAGGTAAGTGAAACACTTTTGTGAGTTTTGACACACTTTTGTGTGTCAAAACCTTAGTCCTCACTAAGACCAGCAGGGTGGATCACATCACTCCAGTTCTGAGGTCTTTGCACTGGCTTCCTGTCTAACAAAGACTTGACTTTAAAGTCCTGTTGTTGGTTTATAAAGGACTGAATGGTTTAGGGCCAAAACACATCTCTGATCTGCTGCTACCTTATGAACCATCCCGACCCCTTAGGTCCTCTGGGACTGGTCTACTTCCTGTTCCCAGAGTCAGAACTAAACATGGAGAAGCAGCGTTCAGTTGTTCTGCTCCACATATCTGGAACAAAGTCCAGAAAGCTGCAGGTCTGCTGAGACCCTCAGCTCCTTTAAATCAAGATTGAAGACTTTTCTGTTTACTGCTGCCTTTAATTGAACCACATTCATCCATCCATCCATCCATCCATTTTCCACCGCTTATCTGGGGTCGGGTCGCGGTGGCAGCAGGTCAAGCAGGCCGACCCAGACTTCCCTCTCACCGGCAACATGTTCCAGC